ACGCAGAATAGCTTTGCAGATCCTCCCCAAGCACCAGCAACCGTAATCCATGAGTGAATAAACTTCTCTTTCCATTTTTGGTCATGATTGTCGAGGAAGTATTTTGTGTATGGACATCCAAGACTGTGCGAAATGAGGATCACTTGGGAGCCATTGTTGCTAGCTGAAGCATCTTCAATAAGTTTTTCAAGCTTGTTTAGATAATCATCATTTGTGTCTGGGAAGAGACATAGGCATTAAAAGGTACACGGTTAGTAAATGGTATAAAATTGTAATCTGAATGTCTCACGACCACTTACTTGGTGCAAATCTAAAATCATACGGAGCGCCAAACAGTGTTTTCCCTCTAACATATCCAATTTTGACAAGAGACTCTACAAGAGGTGCAAAGTATTCCCCTGGATGGTCAATTGTTGAATCAAGGTACTCTATTCCTTCTGTACCACCAAAATATGGTACACGTATCTCGACACCATCTGGGTTATTCAACCGCCTTGTGGTTTTATTGTAAACAAGCCTTGAGAAAAATCAATGGTAGAGTATTTCAACAAATCAAACAATCTAATAAGAACAAATAGGAACTCAGCTCTATATATATTTAGTATAAACATACTAGTGGTCTATCACTCATACTGCGCTGTAATTGGCTACTCTACTAATGATCTAATTTGTGATAGACCACTCGCGTGAAAATTAAAATAAATAAATTATAAATTATTTTAAGGATATTTCAATTTGTTTTCATTATTTGACCGATTAGTATGTTTATACAAAAACAATTAGACCTCTCGGCCTCATGGACTATGAGCTAATAACCCATTTGCCCTCGCAGACTCGGCCTCATGGGCTATTAGCTCGTAGTCCACTCAACCTCAAGGTCTAATTGTTAAATACCAAATGCTTGCTTTGATGGGTGTTATTTTGATTAATTTCTCTTGCAGTGGTGATTTATTTCAGCACATATAATAACAGGGTGTGAACTTAAACTTCAAGGAATAAACTTGATTTGTATTCTGTTTAGCTTTGCAAATTACTTCATGTTGTCGCTCCAGCAGTCAATAACTTCTGGTAAAAGTTCTTCMACGCTTAACCATATTTGGAACCAATCACTCGTCTTCTCGCACCAAAAGTGTGGAGAGTTGTTCTTTTGGAGGCGTGCCTGGAGGCGGCTGCCCGCATCACCCGGTACTGAATRCATAAACAAACCCAAAATGTTATTCAGATTTACAAAGTAATAATAATGAAAGCATAATTTTTTTCATTTCCTTTTTTTTGTTAATCAAAATTTTATTTAGACAATGCAAAAGCACTTGGAAAAAGATCGAAGCAAAACAAAGTGGAAACGAAAGTCCGAAAGAGAACTGCTTGCAAAGTTGTTGGGCCTAATTACGTAATTTCTATTTGTGGAAGAACAAAAACAGAACTAAGAAAACTGGTTAAGCTATCCATTTATTAATGAAAACTAAGTTAAAGCTAAAATCGAATGCATTACTATTCTCTATATACACTACGACAGAACGAAAACACGAGATCGCTAGAAGTTAAGGGGATCACATTACACCTTTTTAAATTCACGTGCAAAACAAAAGATATTCAAATAAGCTTACGTTCCGAAACTCCCGGAAATTAAAACAACCATTTACAAATCTTTCCGGATCGAAAACAGGATCAATCATCTTATGCTTATAGTAGTTCGCGTTTAAAATAATAATAAAACCTACTTCTATTGACGTTTTCACTCAAGATTACAAGTCGATCAGTTATAACAACATCACGAGACATCGTCAAGGATTYACRACAATCGACATGGAATGCGGCCATCGAACGACAATATTTTCACAATAAACTCGCTTACCTAGTATCACAGGAGGTTTGCTATGGCATATCGTCAGTAAATAAGCTAAAAATGATAAAACTGTGGGGAAAAGAAGGTTAAAACTTCTCCCCATTATTGACCACCTTGTATGCTACTGCTGAATGAGCGTTTACAGGTGTGACGTAGTATGTATCGGARCCCAGTCTCTTCGTCCGTTACCGCAGTTAGTGTACGTAACAACGTAACAAAACGTAACAGTATCACCTTTTGACCAATACTGTTCTCCGTTAGATGTAATTCCTGCTGGTATCACCACAGAAACGATTTCCTTTCAACATTGAAATAATGTTTTCAGATGTTATCACAAGAGGAAATGAGGATCCGGCGGATAGTAACTAAAAGGTAGTGCGTGGGTCCAATGTTTCGTCATGGAAACTCAGAAATAGTCAAAATACGAAATGGCAGAAATAAAGAATGGAGAAAAGAGAAAAGAACGTTTTGATAATTTATCAAAAGAAAGAAGATTAAGAAAAACGTACAGAAAGAATATATAGAATATCATCAAACGTCTAGCGATCCGTGTAAGCGCTCTTAGAGCGTCTAGTTTATAATGACTCACCGTACCATGCCAGTAACTGTATTTTACATGTTCTTTCTCAGTTAATAGTGTTGACAGACGACTTATTAGCGTCTAAAACTTTTTAGATGGACGACGATTGTCTTAAAGACCACCATTATGCTTTCGGAGCGAGGGCCTGGAGGCGGCCATTTTCAGTTTACAGAATGTCTAAAAAACATTGTACTGTGTGTTTCGAATCTTTGACCAGATCACTTTTCTAAGCACTTTAAACGCTAATATTAGAGTTTTCAACCATCTGACATTCGTTTTATGGTGATATTCGGACACTAGAAGTATTGGTGAAAATCATAACTTACAATAACAGAGACGCGCAAAGCATAATGGTGCAAACTGGGCCTTTAAACTGCACGCTAAAATCTTTGCACCTGTTTTTGCGCGGCACCCCACCCACCCAACACAAACRCCATATCTGTCTCTGTAACTACTACAGGAAAAGTAACAAAAGCATAATACATGAAGCATATTATTGCTTAACTTTATTTTACTTATGTAAGGGTCAGTTTGCTTTTATTATTACATTCACACTGTAAGAAACTAGTTTAAGTATATATTTTTTGACATTATATAAAATTTGGTTTCTTTATAACTAAATGGCTACATTGGTGTGGGCTCTTCATCATTCATCATTCTTTATATGGTTCATCTTACGTRTTTCTTGTGATCGTTGCTCTATCTCCTGAGAAAATAAAAAATGATTTTGAGAACTTTGTTTACTTGGCTGCCCCATCAGAACATCATTTCAGCAGATGAATGGCTTCCTCGAAGAAGTGTTTGTTTTCTCGACTAATCAAGCGCGTCAACAGTTGAATGGCTTTTTCATTCTTTAGTGAAATTACATTTTCAATTCAAAATCGGCTTTTCTATATGCACTTTCAGCATTTCAAAAGAACTGTGAAGATAAAAATATGATTGAAATAAAAGTGTTGATCAATTGACCAATCAATCGTGTCAACAGATGAATGGCTTTTTCATTCTTTGAAATTRCATGATTTTCAATTCAAAATCAGTCTTTCTATATGCATTTTCAGCATTTCAAAAGATCAGTGAACATGAAAATATGCAATAAAAGAGTTGGTTTTCAAAAACAAGTGAAAAAAAGAAAACRATTTAAAAGTCATTACTTGACTCTCAGAGGAGAGAGCAGACTGAACTATAAACTCTGAAGAGAAGGAGCCATTTCCAACTAATAAACTTTAGAGAGAGTGGCTATATTTCATGGGCGTGTGAAAGGTTTAGAAAAAAATAAACKYGCAAAGAAAGCAAATCAGGAAAAGTTTTCTATATATTGTACCTTTTTGAATGAAACGTTTCCCTTGCTGAACACACAACAATACATCCCATCTTTTGCTGAGRAYGCGTGCAGCGTGCTCTTCGAAGGAGTTCAGGTTTSCCGCGTTTCTTTTTATATTCCCCTTGATTCGTTTACAAAGACCACCTGTCACAGAATAGCTAGGGACGACAAGAAATACAACTACCAGAGTTATTACAATGGCTGCTGTAAAGGTTCGTTTTAACATTTCGGCATTCACAAATTCGTGTTAACTCCTTTGCCAAACTCTTCAAATGCGAAAATATCTAATGGGGCAAAGTTAATGAGACACTGATTTAGGCAGCTTTTAAGACTTTCTTAAGTACATACAAATTATACAATTCGCTATAAATGGAAGTAAGTAATTTGTTGYTTTATAAAGAAAAATAAAACCGAGTATTGTATTATATGTAAGTACTTTTGACTGGTCTTTTGTATGTGCAAGACTTTCGGTCCTTTTGAAAGAATGGGGAAATTACAGCTCAAATTTGCTTTTTACTCGACGACGCAATTTTAAAATTATAAATGTCATGAACAAAGATGGCGACAGTTGTTTTTCAATCCAAACAGACTATAAATAAAATAACAGTGAAAATTAGACTTGTTTAAACTGAAAGAGTTTCAAAAGTTGCAATTAAATCCCCAACGTTTGCTCAAGAAAAACGATATCCATTAATTGAACAGCAATTGTAAAAAATGGTATTAAATATCACATAAGTACTAGTTTGTTTTAGAATAAAAACGAAATGTCTTCATTTTAATGAATTTTTCAAACACTGAACTRAAGTTTTATTATAAAGATTTACGTCACCAAACTAAAATAATTTCCATTTAATTAATTATTTCTATGGTAACCCTTTAAGTTGAAGCACCTGGATTAAAAATATACCGATTTCGTATTGACTGAGCAAAATCCACTATATCAACAATTTTTGATAGCTTTGGATTAAATCATTATCAAAGAATACTCTTCGCTGCGGCAAACAGCTGAGTATTGACGCGGGCTTTTTCCGCAGGCGCCGTCTCTTCGCATTCGATGACGTACTCAAGTTAACAAATAAAATTATCAAATCTTTACGCGGATATGTCTTTTGCGCCCACAGAGTTGCAGGAAATAAGGCTTTTGCGTCTTTTTGAGTTTGTGTTTAAATAGGAAATGCTTGGCACAGTAACGTACTGGGAAGCCGAAAAGGTGGGAAGCAAATCGCAATGCGCTCCATGACAGYACGAAGTGTTTTCGAAAGTAAACGCAAATTAAAATCTTAATGAGTCAGAGTGTTTAATAGTCGTTTTGACAGACAGAAAACGCAGGTTTTTACCATGATATAAGAGGTTCTAAGTGCTCCGGAARAACGAACAATAACGTTCTAAAAATGGTATAAAAGATTTATAAATTAGGTAGGAATTACTAGGCAGTTGAATTAGTGCAGTCAATTTTTTAAAATGAATTTTACAATCACAATACTCGTCATTTTTGTACTTTTTTCTSTTATACCAGGGAATGAGAGTGTAACTGGAGGACTTTGCTTGTATTCCAGGTCTAGAAAGCAGCTTGTTGCCACAAGACTATGCAGACGAGCGCTGGTGAAGGTATGGAAYCATTTCGTCGTGACACATTTGACAAAAGCTTCCTTTTGCATTAATTTTAAAAAGGTTTGAAAATATACAAAATATCTACTAATGTTAGCAAATATATAACAGAATATTCGGGCAAAATATTATATCTTTTTATATCWCTGTTTTACATGGATTCTTTGCCATAAACTTAACGGAATCTGAAAGCATGAAATCAGGAGCAAAATCAGTATTTTACGTATGAATTAGGTAACTTGGTTATGCAAGAATAGTAAAAAAAAAATCGCCACCCATTTACGGATTTGAATTTATCAAAAGCACACATGGGGAAGCATTTCTTTTTTTATTTGTGCAAAGAAGTAAAAGATTTTTTGTCAGAGCACCCCAAATCCTTTTTGATCAATTGCGTGCTTGTTGGAATTTCTTCATTAGTCGCTAAAGTGTTATAAAAATTGGAWCTTCACGACGATAAAAGAAAACAATATTGACACAATTGAAGATAAGACCCTACAGACATTTAATCTAGTGATGATGGTACCATGGTTACGATATATGCCATACGGTTTACCATTCTCGATACAACTCTCATTGAAAACGACTCTATTTGCAATCTAGAATATTTATTGGTAATTCTGCTTAAAATATTCATTTGATTAATCAATCAATCAATTAATAGACTTTTATAATTTGTAAAATCAACAGAGATATAAAGCTAGGCTATCAAAGACACAACAGGAGAAATTAAAAGTTTCAACAGAATCAGGACAATTGAATCAAATTTCACYCGAGGTAAATACTCCAACAATAATTCTTGTGCACAAATAGAAGTATAGTAAAAAACATTAAATGCAAAATAGTATGAGCATAATCCCTTCAAATTTCATCTTTTACGTCATTTGCGTCTAAAGCTTCCTCTCTTTTTTGTAAATAGATTGCGCGGCCTTACGCGACGCGACGCAAACACTTTGGTGAGGCTTGTAGTTATCCGTTAGATAATTACAAAAAGGCGTAATGGGGTTTTTGCGTAGGGCATCAATCTTACTTAATATTCGTATGTTATAAACTCCTTTCATTGATTATTAAATCACAAATTGTCTTTTCGCAGGAGGAAAAGTTAGATTCCAGAGATGAACTTTTTAAAGACGATAGATTTGCGTAGAGGAAATGGACGCAAATTATGAATATCTTACATTAATTCCACTGCACTTCTAGAGCGTAAATTAAGAACTTCACGATTATTAGAGATAGACTATCTAATACACAGATAAATATTGTATAGTTTAATTTATTTTAATAGTAGAATCTACACGAGCCAAAGCAGTCTTCAGCATCCGATTTATTAGTAACAATTGCTTTGCTTTTTTCTGCATGTGTCCGTGCGCCAGAACTGAACTGGCTTTGCCATTCAACATGAACAATGCAACTTCCATCTAAGATTATRTTGCTTTTGAACTTACAAGCCTTAGTTAATTTAATTGAAAATAAAATTTGAAAACACTTTCCTATGTGTACTTGAATTTTAGATACAGTTAAAACAGGTAATTGTAGTTCTAGACAAGAACACATCAYTGCCCAAAATGGCGATGGAGCTTTGAAAGTAGCAACTTGAAAAGTTTACTCTGAAGAAGATTACTAGACCACTYRRACTWCCGCATTCTCMGCACAACTTCATTTCGCATTTGATGTATTCATGGAGASTAAACAGTGAATAAGCTKTTGTGCTATGTCWYGTTGTTCAATGATATCTGTTCCATCATAATTGTGGTGAGTTTCGCCTTGTTGTGTTCAATAGCCTTCTTCAGAAAATCGATCCAAGAATTGTCTTTAGTTTCGTCTGTGAAGTGCGCAGCTCTGAAAGATTCAAAACAAGGAGTTCTACTGAGTAAAATGCCTCAATATGCTTACAAAATGMAGAATTCGAAAGACAAGGATTTTCTTCACTGAGAAAGTTTTCAAATGCTCATCATTCATCAAATATAGAATTTGAGGATTTTCTGGTCAATGTAAAACCATAAGTTAATCAGCCGGTATTACACGATTCATTTCCTTAACACATGTATACAAACTTCCTGCGCAACAATGCCGCCAAAAGCACTTGCACTTGCCGTGGACRGCAAMTAGAWTCAAAGTCAAACCAAATGCGCAATAAAAAAAGACAATCTAAACGATAAAGTATACAATGTCTGTGGTGAAAAGCCATACCGAGCTTTTTCTTCACGAAGCAAGCAAAACTCTATTGAAGGTTGAATGAGGAGAAAGGAAGAGAAGAGAAAAATAATGACCTACCGTGATTTTTCAAGGAGGTTGACCAGAATATCCGCCAGCTGATGGACCTGAATGAATTCAAGTCAAAAACAACATAATAAGAATAACAGAGATGTATAAAAGAAGGAAAAGTAGCATAACAAAAGGAGAACAAGAAGAACAAGAAGAACAAGAAGAACAAGAAGAACAAGAAGAACAAGAAGAACAAGAAGAACAAGAAGAACAAGAAGAACAAGAAGAACAAGAGGAGCAAGACGAACAAGACGAACAAGAGGAGCAACAAGAGCAACAAGACAGGCAAGACAAGAAATGTAAACATAAGTAGCACTAAGAGGAACAAGGAGAACAGGAAAGCAAATAAGAATACGAACAAGAAGTACAATTAACTGAAAAAGACTTAGAACAAGAAGACCAAGAAAGCGAAGAAATAGAACCAGATAAAGAGAGGGGATGAATGAGAAAAAGGCAAAGAAGAAGAATACAAGAAGAAAACGGCAACATTCTTCCACTCTTTTGCGTCACCCGGTTCTGACGTCCATCTCTTGCTACGTCTAATCTAATTGCTTGCATGTATTTCCCGAGAAGTTTGCAGTCTATATCAATAGATATTTACGGAATATATTGAGTTCACGCGCCCAATGTAACAAAATCTACCAATGTCAATAAACACAGAGTACGAAAAGCTTATATTTTAAAACTGCAGCAATTAGATTAGACGCGACGAAAAGAAACGGACTTTATATTCTCCTTTTAAACTTACATTCTCTTGTAGACTCTCTCGTGCAATCGGAGCATACAAACCACTAATAATATCGTCAACTCTATTAAAATACAAGGGTAATAATATTAAAAAAAAATATTTCCTCGATTTTTTTCCCGAAAATCAAAATGGTCAATCACAGGAGCCCATTTCTCCTGTCAATCACCATAAGATTATCATCATCATTATCATCATCATCATCATCATCATCATCATCATCATCATCATCATCAACATCATCATCATCATCATCATCATCATCATCATCACCATCATCAGTTACATTTAGTTGAATGCATTTTACAATTGCCAGAACTCAGATAACATTATGCATCAAATATTGACATACTTTGGGCTTATTTTGGTCACAAGTATTGAAACATTGTCTAAATCCTTGTTGAGTTCTAAAGTGGTTGTCTTGGCATTTGTTCGGATGGCATCTGATACTTTTTTAAGACAGGAGCGGCAAGCCTAAGGAAAGAATAACAAAATTTKTTGTTTTTGTTATTGATTATAATGTTARTGATRTACTTTTAKCTSTTCATTCGCTGYAGTTAAACAACAYATMGCGTGAAGAGGCATCCATTAATGAGAACAAGCACTCGAGATAGGAAATAGGGACTTTTATAAAGGTTTATCAATAAGAATTTAACATTCAGGCAAATATATTGCCCAATTCAAAGCTAAATTCTTTAAAAGTTCTATTTGCTACTGAAAGTTTTTTTCTTCAATTTTATCAAATACCCCTATATTCTACCCCTTAATTTTGTAAATAATGACATCCTAGAAGACCTTTGCGCTCTTTGGAAGAATATTGTGAAATATTGCTTAAATGAATAACAATACACCTTTGCACTAATGACACAAAATGGCAATGTTTCTTTGCTTGAAAGAATGTTTTGCTGCTAGCAGT